GAGGCACAGCATCAAGTTATTTTGTAGTTGCAAATTGATTTTTGTGATTTATGTATTTTTGGCACATTACACAGGGAACAAAATCCTCGATTGTAGGGTACCAAAAGACATCTGTGATGTGAGATTAGTGCATAAATGATGGACTGTTGCACTGTTCAATCCTGCTTTATTTCCCAACACATGAATATATTTGCAAGTGACTGGGGGCCGACACTGAAGGAAAAGTGCTTTGCTCAGAGCCAGTGGGATAGCATCTACCTTCCAGGGCCTTAGACGGATTTAGAGTGAGTGATCTGAAGGTCCGCTGATACTGCATTACAGACATGTAAATAGAAGAGGAAACGGCAACGTCCAGAATAATCATAAAACATTTTAAGATGGATAGATGGATTCAGTCATTCATTCATTTTAAACTAATATATCATTCTCTAAGAAACTACAGAAATTCTCCAATAAAATATATTTGTTGTTATACTTGAAGGCAGATGGACTGTAGATATTGATTTCAGCGAAGTGGAAACACCCGGAATTGCTTTCCAGTTGTTGTCAGTCAGATCAAAGGCTGTTGCATCAGTGACTCTGCTCTGGACGCCTTCTTTTTTTTTTGACGGAGATGCATTGCTCATCTGAGCTTCGATAGATCTTCTATTCTATTTTTTTAATCCCTAATATCTTTTTCAGTGAGTCTTTGGCTTATTTTGACTTTGAGAATGTAATGTGCTTTTCATGTTGAAGGTTGTAGCAACATGAGAGGTACTGTACAGGACAACGGGTGTACACTGAGTCCATGTCATCATTAATGACACACAGAGTAAAGTGTTCATAGAAACTTTGCCTTTGTTCAGGTTGAGTGTGTTCAATGCCATAATTATCAGCTGGCTTACAATCACCTCACACTCAAACAAGTCAATGAGGTTGTTTTCTTACTCATCTGAAGAGCCTACATTTTCACTTCTCTGATCACTCATTCTACCGCTGTCAGTAGTTATGCTGATTTCCTCCTCTGCCAGCCTCCTCGTGTTCTCGCTTCTCATTAATCAAACTTGTGATGAATGTCTTTTGCCTTTGTGAATCACAATGTCCTGTTTTTTCCATATCTCAGTGATGTGTATCTTCTGGTTTCTGCCCTGTATACCCCTGGGGTTTATGTGACGGCAGCTGCATCCAGATGTCAGGGACTGAAGCCAAACTGTCTATGCTCTGCAACCAGCCGAAGTTTGGCTTCTTGCCTAATATCACTGGACCACTTCTAACAGTGGTCTATGGATCTAACACTAGAGCAACACATTAGTTCTCCTAAAATCATCTGTCTCTAAAGTCTGGTTTGACTAAATGTGTACATAGTATAAATGTACACACATACAAACTCAGAAAAAGACAATGTTTTATATCGGTGTACTTTCTTTTTCAGCATTATGAGTTCACTTTATTTTACAAAGACTTTTTTTAGTTGGATCCACTTTTTTCTTCAAACCAGGACTCTGATAGGGTTGTGAAAAAAGTGCAGTGGTTTTACTGTAGGAGGGGGAAATGTGATTTGGTTGATGGTGAATCATGTCAGCCCCATCTCTCTTCTATCTGTTAATGTATTATTTCCAATTCCAGCCTATTCCCAGCTGTAGTGGGCTCGCGTCAATCACCTGTAGGAGATAGACAGAATAGATAACTCTTAATAAATCAAACTTCCTTTAAACCCTTATTTCCAGAGGTAAGGCTTACTTAAAACATTTTCTTATCACGTATCAGCAGTGTTTGAGCTTCACAAACCAGCAACCTTTTAGCCTCACAAGCTTACATCTTATGGTTCGAGAGGACTCCGACTGACTCTATTAAATGGGTTTCATTGATCCTGATTCTTTCACTGAGGGAAAGGTCACTAACAAACTCTGGGAGCTAAGTCCAAGTCTTCTCTTTGTTGTCGTCCAATGTATTTACTTTTTCAGAAACAAGTTCAAAATATATAGTAATTACAACTAGGGATGCACCGAATATTCAGCCGCCGAAAATTATCGGCCGAAAATGGTTAAAGAGGCTCTTTCGGCTTTCGGTTTTAGCACCGAAAAAATATCACCGAATGTCAGGGAACAGGATTACGTTGGTAAGCTAACGTGTTGTTGTGATGACGTAATCAAAACGCGGCGACAAGCACGGTGCGCGACCATGCTCGTGGCTGGCTCACAGCCAACATGTCTGCCGCTTGGAGATATTTAAAAATATCAGAGAAAGAGGCGCGGATTGCGATTTGTAAAACGTGTTCAGCTGACATTTCTCGAAGGGGTGTAACTGCAAAGACTTTCACCACTTCGGGATTACTCCACCACTTGAAATCAAAACACCCGGACAAATATGCGGAGTAAGATCAAATCACAAGCACTGACAGCGAGAGACTGTTCAGCGCTGCCTCTCATGTGCTTGATGAGAAGAGGAGCAGACTTATGGCTGATAAAGCAGAGAAGCTACTGTTCATTAAAAAGAACCTCCCACTTTTCCTTAATAAGTAGACGAGGCTGGCTTATCATAAGCTTATCTAGTTCTACATGTCTACTCTCTACCCACTTTCCTGAACAATTTTCATTGTGAGTTATAATTCACCATCTCAGGTTATCATTAGGGGGAAATGACAGCAGCACAGTGTTCAATATATTGTACTTTCGGTATCTAAATGATACAATGTTGTTTACATTGCTCATGAGGACAGACCACCTTATTTGCAGATTCTTGAAATTGTAATTTAATTTGTAATTGATTGTGGATTTTGTATCCAGTTTTCACTTTATGTATCTTTATACAATGTTTACTACTTTGCTTATGAGGACAGACAGCCTTATTTACAGATTCTTGAAATTGAATTGTAATTTCATTTGTAAATAGTTACATTCATGTGGATTTATCCAGTTTGCACATTTGTATGCATGCACTTATAGGTGCATTTGTTGTTGTTGAAGGCCTGGCTGTTACAGTCTTTATTTACACTATTTTGTTGCAGGCCTACTGGCCTAGATGTTTATGCACCTTGGCTTTGTTCTGAATGCACTTTGTTGTAGTTATCCTACAGAGAAAATGCACTTGACTTGGAATTAATGTACTCTATGCATTCAAAAGTGCTGAATAAATGTTTTATGGACCCATAATAGTGATTACTATTTAAGTTAAGTTAAGTTTAGCCATAATCATGTCTTTTTCCATAATCAGATAGCTGAACAACATTGGTAAAAAATGTATACATTATATATAGATATTTCTATTAATCATTTTCGGCCTTTCGGCATTCGGTTTTCGGCCGACTGTTTCCTATTTTCGGTATCGGTTTCGGCCAAGAATTTCCCATTCGGTGCACCCCTAATTACAACCCCCAAAAACACGTTATAATAAATGTTAAATGCATATGATGACTATATATTGGTTCTGTATATGTTCTCTAAGTAAACATAAATGACCCAAAAAGCACATTTTGATTCTCCAAATGAGCTCCAACACCTTCAGAAGGCCTTGAATTATTGAGGAGCCATGAGATCCCAGGCACTTCTCATGAATAAAATGTTAAAACCCTTGTTTAATCCAATGGCATGTTCATTAAAAACCGAAAACTGGGCATTTAGAAAATGTAACCTTTCAGCAACATTCAATATTTAATGAGTTAAGTTAAGCCTTTAATCCACAGGCTTTGTTCAATGAACTTGTGTGAAACAGGTTAAAAAAAGCAAAGATTTAGCTTTATACAATATTTGTTCTGCCCTTTAAAAAGCCAGGCGTGTGGCAGATAAATGTTTTATTTTATTAATAAAGGTTGCTTTTGGTCTGTCTTTCTCAGTGTTATTACTTTTAATCAGTGAAAGCAAATGCAAGATTAACATTTCCTAAAAGGTTCAGACTGATCCAAATCCCTGCCTTTAGTGCTGTGGCAGACAACCAGTCAGCGGTTTGTTTATTCAGTATGATTTTAATTACCTAATCAATTTAGCCATTTAGGATTTTCATCACTATTATGGATTTTCATTATAAAGAATCCACTCAGACACTTTTGGAGATAATCATGGATTTGTGATCAAATATTTTTTCTGGTGATGTGGGGTTAAATGTTGCCGGCAGATCAATGAGACAATCCATATATTTCTACTCTGAGAAGAAGAGAAAATAAAAAACGTTGCAAACTCAACTAATGGAGGTTGAGCCTGGGTAGATACAGTGCACCAGTGTTCCATATTTACCCTCACGTTGCCTTTTAGTTTCATTAAATTAATATTGCCACCCTCATATTCCCATGAGTAAAATGTTACTCAGACTATGGCTGGTAATCCCCTGCAATACCCCAATACCTCTTTGAATCTTTTTAGTTTAAGGGCTTTGCTTGCAATGTAGAAAAGGATTTGTGGAACAAAAGTAAATCAGAGAAACAGTTATCTTTTTTTATTACGCATAGTTGTCTTTCTGCCAGCTATTACGTGACTTTTGGTTTCTCTCTGTCCATCCAACTATGTGCAATATGTGCTATATGTGCAATATATGTATGCCGTTAATAACTGTGTAATTTATACCTGGCTGCTAAATCCTTAGAACCGTTACAAGGTGTGTTTTTTTGTATTTTGTAAATTGTGTAACTTGCTGCTGTTAAATACCATCAAACTATGTGCAATATGTGCTATATGTGCAATATATACATTATTATATACATATGCCATTAATAACTGTGTAATATATATACCTGGCTGCTAAATCCTAAGAACTGTTAGAGGATTTGTATTTTGAAAAGTTATTTTACTTTTATTTTTGTTATTATATTTTTTATTATATCATAACTTTTTACTTTTTTTTAACATATGTAACATTAAGCTGTCTGTGGCTCTTTCCTGCTGTAACGATGCACATTTCCCCTCTGTGGGACTAACAAAGGTATTCTGATTCTGATCCGTCTTCTGCAATTATTCCAGTGTTTCCTGCTTCCAGTTTAACCATCGTCTGTCGTCTGTGTTCCTCTCTCCGTGTCTCCGTGTCTTCATCAGGGACGGCCCAGAGACGTCTAGTCCTCAGCTGGGAGTCTTCAGCGGCAACACAGCATTGGAGTCAGCCTACAGTACCAGCCCGATGGTCCTGATCCGCTTCCACTCTGACTTTTCCACTGGAGGGTTCTTCATTCTCAACTACCATGGTACAGATACAAACTCACACACACACACACACACACACCTGTAGTATAAGCATGCTCATATGTAAGCTGTGTACAGTGTACAGCTTATACTGCACAAACAGTTAGACACATACGGTATATACAAATAGTTATAGGGACAGACAAACCACATTTGTAGACTGCCAAATCATGGCACAGCATCATAATGCACAAGAGTGTTTGAGTGCCATCTGCGTCCCTGAATACCAAAGTGTCTCCTATCAAAGCTTCAATCTAAAACACATGTATCAAGTCTTCTAGTGTCATTTCCATAACCAGTGAAGAGCTATAACAGATGATTCAGACAGTAAAAAAAACAAAAAGAGTTAGTGTAGCTACTTTTCTTTTTTCACTCTAGCAATGCTTTCATCATATCTCCCCTAGTGTTCATTATTTATAAAAATATAGTTAGTGTCTGAAAAGGTCAATGTCATGGTTTTCAGTGATTAACAGGTGTGTACCCTTTATTGCAATGAGACAGCCTATTTGATAAAGGCTGCAGCCACACCACTTGTGTCTCAGGGTGTGCAATGTGCATCTCAATAATCAACCACTTTTAAGGAAAGAAATAAGTCAATTTGAGTTTCCTAAGGTTCAAATATGTTTTTGTTTATGGACTTGTGAATCATTGTGAACAGACCACCCACTCTTGAAATGACCTTCTTTCTTTTATTGTTTTTTTTTTTCACTAGAGATCTAAGGTACCTTGTTTAAACGTTTTTCTCTCTCTCTTTCTCGCCAGCCTACCGTCTGAAGAAATGTCCTGCTCCGCCTGTTGTGGAGAACTCAGAGGTGATCTACGAAGATGAAGACTTCCAGATAGGTAATTCATAATAATAAGATCTTAATTGAATGAAAGTGATGTTGCACCAACTAGTCTACATACAGGGTTCCCGCGGGATCTTAAAAAGGTCTTAAAAAGTCTTACATTTGAGTTGGCCTAACCTGCAGGAACCCTGTACATAACTTCAGCAAACTAAAAAAAACCACCTGGGTTACTTCTTGACCTTCGCTGTTTAATTCAACTTGTTTTTTATTACCTTTTTTGGGGGGGGGGGCATCATACTGTAACATCAAAATGACCCTCACCTGACAGGTCTGACATACTGCCTGGTTTTTGTGGGGTCGTTATGCTGTATAATAATGGGCTAAATTACTCTTTACATTCATATTCAACGTGAAAATGCTACTATTAATTATATTTTGCTTTGTTAGTGAAGCTGAGCCCTCGCTCCAAATAAAATCCACGCAGTGTAAAACTGTGTGAGCATGTTGTCAGTATCTTTGACACAGACAGAAACACAAGAGCGAGGAATTCACAAAAGAAAATTAAGTTATGCAAAATTCTTCATTAATATCTATGTCAGTTGCATCTCTTCACTGCCAGTACAGAGATTGGGGTGTGTCTGGTGCCTCTTAGCATAAACAGTGACAAACAGCTGGCTCCATCAATGGAGATAAAATAAGCCTTCCAACCCCTCTACAATTGGCTCAATGGTATTTAGAGTAAATATGATGTGTTGTTATATCGCTCATCTCCAATACATTTGAATACCACCTACATAAACCAAGCAGCCTATTCTTTGTCCGTAAATAATTAGGATATTTCCAATCTGTTTGAGTTGAAGAGAAATGCAGTTAACCCAGTCATGGCTCTGTAATTGGTCAAAAGTAAAAACCTACCCAGTACAGTATGTTCTCTCAAGCTTTTGAAATACATTAATTTTGGTAGAAATAATCACATGTCAAGTTTTCCATTTCCCATCAGTTATGTGATTTGCTCAAAACATTTACTCTTAGGGTTGGTGACCTTTTGGATCAACAGGAGATATGTTTTGAAAAAATCTGACATCTCAATTTGCCCCTGCCGATGTATGCAGAGCCTAGCCGCTGCTGGCAAAGCATACAATAATTTCTGTGCAGAAAACTCACATTTTGAAATGTCAGCTTTTTTATGAACTCTGGAAAGTTGGTTGATTTTTGAATAATTAGTTGATTTGGGGGATTTGGGGATTTTAGACTTTTAAAGACACTTTTAAAGTGGTCAAACCCCAGAGTCAGGAAAGACTTAATCATCCCTCAAATTGATATTAGAAAATGTTCCTTAGATATGATCTTCCTAACAGGACACTAACAATGTACAGAGTGATAATACTACACCAGAGTGACGTCAAATAATTGACACGTACACCACAGCAGCACCTTTCTCAGCAAGACTGAGTACAAATGAGGGCTATTTTTGAATAATCATACATAGAATTCTCACAAGCCCTCAGAACGTTGGGCTGCATGTACTTAGAATTTTACATTGTCAAACTCTGGCCGGATGGAGTACCTCGGAGACCACACTACCTTTGTTTTTGTCGCTCAGTCTAATAGCCAATTATACAATCTGTGAACACGCTCAAAGAAAGGCCGAATGTTCTTGTTTGTTCTGTTTACCTTTTTTCATAGTCCATGCCTCATGCTGAGAGCTTTGGCACTGTGCGCCTCTGGGGCAAAGTTTGAAATAGGCATTACATCTGGCAGACAGGTGGTGGATATCCTCCCGATTCAAGATCAAAACCCCTTCAAACTTTTTTTCTTTTCAAAACAGGGCAACACATCTTAACTATTTTGGAACATACAATATTTACAGTTATTATATAAAGACAGTTATTGGTTGCGGTAATCGTCCTCCTGTCTATACTTGGTATAAATAGATAGGTTATATTTTTGGACGTTCTGCCTCTGCCTCCTTGCTTGGTCGGGCTGCTCAACGGTCAGTCTCACAATCATTCAATAGACTTTTTTTTTTGTTCCTGCTTAGGTGATATTGTGAGGTACCGTTGTCTACCTGGATATACACTGGTGGGAAAAGCCGAGCTGATGTGTAAACTCAATACCCATTTGCTTTTTGAAGCCCCGCCACCAACATGTCAAGGTAATGCTACTCCCAAACCAATACAACATACAGCATGTGCATGTTTATGTCACAATCATACATTGACTCTGTGTTGTGTCATTTAAAAAAATCCTCAAACAAATATGAAGACATAAAATGTCACAACTATGAAAATTATTCGGAAACCTTGATCCTACGTATTGGATCAAGTGTCTACATATTGACATGTTATAGCAGGAAAAGCAACTTTGTTTGGTCCAAGTAAGAGATGCCAGTTAGCGAGCGTGCATAGAACCAAGACCCTGGACCTAAAAGTAAAGCCTTTGTTTTCAAAAGTAATTGATTACATCTGTGCCTTTGCTGCCATGACATGCTTAAATGTCTGCTGTGAGAAAGATACAGTATATTAGGCAGATTGAGTAAAGCCAAACCAGTTAATGACATGAGAAATAGCACATGTTTCTATTGTGTGACATTCCTACTATTGTGTGTTGAAGTTAACATTTTTCAATTAATAATATATTCCACTTTTTCAATACTATGAAATACTCTCTTTATTTCAAGAAATGAAGAGGCAGCAGGAAAGAAGCACTAGATTTTCAGTTAAATGTATAATACATCCACACTGTGAGGTGCTGGCTGCAGTACCTGGTATTTATACGAGAGAACTGAATACTGATTTGAATTCCTCTTTTGAGAAAACTCTTTTGTGTTGAACAGATGCTCAGCCTTCGCCATCATCGTGTAAGATGAACAGAATGTCCTTTTTATTATAAAGCAGGAGAAGAAAGTTTGGTGCCTTTTGTGTGAAATCCTGATTCCTAAACACTCATCACACAGAAAGATTGAGTCAGACTTCCAGTGTCTCGCTAAAGGCTAATAAATAGGCACATTTTAAAGGCAGAGAAGATGGGCATGTGGCATTGAGATTCTTTCGTAGACCCAACATGACCCTGACGCAGGCAAGCTAATTTGATAGAAAGTACATTTCAAAAGAAGGGCTCTTTATACATGTGAGTTGGAAAAAGGATACAGATAATGAATATGAACAGGTAAACAAGAACATTGAGATGGATTTATTTTGAGAGTGGTTCACACCTAGTATGTTCCAAAGAAAAAAGTTTCACAGTTCTTATCAATCTCACTGGCTTTTGTCTATAACTCCTCCAGCCCAGTGCCCAGCCAATGAGGAGCGGACATTGTCATCAGGAGTGATACTTAGCCCTGGGTTTCCTAGCAACTACCCCAACAGCCAGACGTGCTCCTGGCTGCTTCACATGGTTCCAGGTACAGTGTGTATGGAGGGGGTGTAACCAGTGTGTGTTTCCACCCTGCTGTTTTATATATATATATATCTGCACTTTGATTATAAATATGTAAAACAGTTTTTGTGTGTCCCTGCATTTGTGTGTGTGCGTGCTGCATATGTGCTTGTTAATAATGTTGTCTTGTTTTTCCAGGTTACACCATCAACATATATGTAGAGATGTTCCACAGCGAGAAACAATTTGATGAACTGGAGATTTTTGATGGTACACAGAGACGTCCTTTTTTATTTTGCAACTCACTAGACACACACAGAACATCACATACCCATACATGCTTACACACACATATCCACAATATCCACTTTTGAACAGGTGGAGGGTCGTGGTCCATAAACCTGGGATGAAAGTATACAATGTGTTTCAATCAGGATCATGTAAAACAAGTCATCTGGAGGAAGTTAGCGACTTAATGATGCTGTCACCTTCATGTGAGGCATGTCTCAGAAACAATAAAACACATTCTCACTACAACATGTTGTTCTTCTTCATCTGAGCTTAGGCTCATACTATTCTAGGGGAACATTATATGTAAACCTACGAATCCCACCAACAAAAACAGACCACTAAGCAAAACGACATATTGTACGTGCATGTGTATTCATGAGAAATACTAATATATACAATATACTTTACGCACAGCCGTCCTGAAGTGTCATTCATTTGTTTCTCTAGGATCCTCAGGGCAGAGTCCTCTTCTCGTCGCTCTAAGTGGAAACCACTCATCTCAGCTCAACTTCACATCGAAAACAAACCAGCTCTATCTACGCTGGTCCACTGACCATGCCACAAACAAGAGAGGGTTCAAGATACGATACTCAGGTACATGCAATATCTTTCATTTTCTACATTCTTTATGTCCCTTATATATAGCTGGCCTTGTTATTGTTAATAAAACACCAGTTATGCATATTATGCGTCTGTTTACAGACTCTCTGTTCTAAATATTATTTTAGTTTGAACAACAATTACATGTAGATAGGACCGGCAGTTGCTCAGTCAGTAGGGGCTTGGATTGGGAGCCGTAGGGTTGCCGGTTCAAGGCCCCAAACAGACTTAAAGTATGGAGTGTGGACTGTTACTCGGAGAGGTCCTAGTTCACCTCCTGCCCTGCCGTGGTGCCCTTGAGCAAGGCACTGGACAACCCCCCCATCCCCCCTCACTCCCATTGCTCCCCGGGCGCTGTACAATAGCTCCTACTACTAGACTCCTGGTACTAGGAAACACATGTCACTGTGTGTGCTGTGTGCTCTGCATGTGTTGCCATTAAAAAGGGTTTCATCCCTCCCAATATTATAGATGTGCATTACTTGCATGTCAGGGAGGAAATCTTGAATGTGAGATTAGATCAGGATTAGTGTGTTGCCATCTGAAGAATACTGTCTGCTGGCTGCCCTGCTTTTGTCTATGCTTTCACACATTGTACCCTTCCTTCTGTGTGGAAAAAGGTTTGACTAATGTTGGCTGAAGTGATTGGTCTCTAATAGAATTTATAACCAGCTCCTTGCTTATGATGAAAATTAATTGGTGCATCAAGGCTGTAGGTACCTGAGCATTGATCATTGAGAAGACGTTCCTAACTGGAAAAATTATTTTTTAATGCATCAGACTAATTAAGAGCGAAAGAGAATTAGGAAATCCACTTTGTTAATTTGCCAATTTGTTTCAGCTTGAGTTTATTATATCTATCTGCAGGTTCTTGCCAACAGTGTCGCATTCTGATCCTTAGCTTTGTTCGGTTTAGGTTGGCAGGTTTTCAGACGCTCCTTATTCATTGCTTTTAACATTTGAGGAGTGTACTGAAGATGACCATCACTTTCGATATTTCTAAATAGAATTTACAGTCCTCTTGGACTTGAGATGAGTGAGTCACAAGGTCTGTCTCATGGCTGTCTGTACTGAAGAGCAGAGTGATATATTTTAGTCTGTGGGTTATATCGGCACAATGGCTTGAAGTAATAGTGTTTTCTTTTCCCCATGGTGTTGTATTGTCTTGACAAAAGCAGCTATACAGAGGACATAAATGTATGGTTGAGACTTTCACTTACAATACACTTTTGATGCTCTCGTATATTGAAGCACACATATTGCACAGTATATATATTGTATACCTAGCTTTAGCTTATAACATGGATCACTCTTCAAAGGGTTATTTCAGGTGTAAGACCTGGTTTAAGGGTCAATGTAACAATTGAGTGTAGTGTCAGTGAAGTTATTATGTTATCTTTACGAGGGTCCTCAAACATGTGGTGAGTTTGTGTGACTCTGGATCTGTGTGGGCTGTAACATTCTCTGCTGCGTTTTCGTTATCGTTTTTCCTTGTTGTTCATGCTTGCTTTAGCTGTGAAATGACCTTGCAGACATTATGCTTAATGGTATCAGGTTTACCCACTGACCTTTCTGAAAGCAGCAATAGCTCATCGCTTGTATGCATCTTTCCTGGTGATTCACTATGAATTTCCACTCCTCTCTTTGTATCTCTCTTTGTGATATGTGTTGTAGTTGCTGCCTGAATGTGTGTGGGGGCACTTACTAATGCTATAAACAATAATGGCCCTTAGTACATTTTAAGTAGGTATCAGCAATTGTACAGAAGTGCCATCAATAATATTTATCTCAGCATATTTTACCTCTATGTGAGAACAAAGCTATTATATTTCTTACATAAACATTAAGAGGTCAGCATTACTCAGCTAAAGCTATTTCAAATGGTACCAAAGCCAAAATATGTTTGTCAGTATCTTAGGGAGACATTGATAGCTATATTACAAATGGTTAAAAATGCAGTCACTTTAATTATAAAGATAAGCATTGTGTGTTGACACGTTGTTATTATAATAGTATATATATATGTATGGTATATTATATCAAGGCTAGGGCTACATGTTAGTGTATATATATATATATATGAAACTAGATATGCATTGATGTCGGTTGTACATTAAGCAAGCAGGGTTTTCAAATTAAGCTGCTTAACTATCGTAAAATCCTTTGTCCCATTTTATCTGTGAAAGTAATACCTATCTATCTCTACTTCTTATCCAAAATGTATCAACGAACATCACCATTTATTTTTTGCATGTATTAGGAATTTGCCACCGAACAAATTAAGCATAGTGATGATGAAAACTGAGAATGGTGTGGTGTGTATCATTCAATGCAGAGGCAACGAATGATACACAGCATGCCATTCTTTGCCTCTGCCTCGTCCATTATCCTGCAGCTGACGGACAGTCTCTAATAACTCTATTGTTGCGTTTTCCAGTATAGCACTTTTGGAACATTATCAATGTTTTGTTCATAGGAATTTCTCTTATCTCTCTTGCAATTTCCCATACTGCATCTGTATTTAAGTTTTCTTTATTTTTTGTTTTGGAAGTCAAACTCAATGTATCCCGCAGACTGGAATGGAAGTAAAGTCTACCCTGAAAGTCTCAATAAAATGTTCTTTTCAACTCAGTTTTAACAACATCTGATCCTTTGATATCGAGGCCCTTATGATAAAATCTTCAACAGGAGTTCATGTCCCTTTTATTATAATTATAAACATTCAGTAGTTAGGAACTGGAAGACTGGGCCTTCATCCTCGGACTGAATATTCGTGCAACCTCAGAATATTCCTGTTTGAGAGAAGTGGACTGATAAGATATACAATTAATGATGCCGATTACACAGACATTTTAGAGCAGATAGAGTGAGCAAAAAGAAGGCCAATATGACTCTTTTGAGGAAAGGGAGGCATAAGATACTTCTTGCAAACAAAAGTTTACAGTAGAATGAAAATGAAAGCTACTCTTTTGTCCTGACGTGGGAAAGTAAATCCTCCAATGTGAAGCTGAAAGAAAAAAGAGCCGGTACAAGGCGGAGCAACGACCACACCGGACAGGGAGGAGCAAGTGGCCCATTGAGGCCTGTTGTGGAGGATGGTTATATTGTACTGATTCTATATTCAGTTCCTGGAAGACAAAAACAATGCATTACTTGAAAAGGTTTCAGAAAAAGTTATTTATTTACATCCATTATAGTATGATATAATACCAGAAGGAATAAAGCTCATATTTGATATGCCTGGCATTAGTGCCGTATTGTTTCCAGGCACACCTTTTCTCATTTTAAATACACCCCCACGGAGCTCACCTTCTGTTTTCTCTCCTGCTCATTATTATCTCCAAAGAAAAAATGAGTTAGATAAGACTGGTTAGTTTCTTGTGAAGTGTGAACACAGAACAAATGTTGTTTTCCCAACTTTTCTTCCTCTATATCTCCAGCTGCCTACTGTAGCATCAATGATCCTCCAGTGAACGGTGGCGTGGTCAACCGAACCAAACTCCGTCCAGGGAGCAGACTTCAGTTTTATTGTAACCGTGGTTACCGCATGATAGGCTCAAGCAATGCCACCTGCAGGCTTCACCCCAATGGGCTTTACCAGTGGGACGTACTAACACCGTTTTGTCAAGGTACTATTTTAAACGATTGCTTCAAAAGAGATGACAGCAGTTTGTGAACGATACCATTTCAACACTTATCTCTTTACGGCAGCTGTCTCATGCGGAATTCCACAGTCACCCGGCAACGGAAGCTTCCAAGCCAACCAGTACACCGTTGGTAGCCAGGTCACCTACCAGTGTAACCATGGTTTCCACCTTGACCCAGGTGCTCAAATGACTGCTGAGTGTTTGGAGGATGGCAGCTGGAGTAATGCTGCCTCAGCCCCCAGATGCCTACGTAAGTTGTATGGGCAGTCAAGACTATGAGATGACAAGAAGAACAAATATTCTTAACTCAAGGTCATTTAGGACACAGAGGAAGACTGCAACAATGTTGCAGTCTTCCTATGTGAAAGAGGTGAGTGAAGTTTGCTCACTTTTCATGGTGTAACACTTTCTCCATGATATGACAGCTGATGAGTTCAAAGCTCTGTTAAAAGCTTGTTAGTGGATTTTGAGGAAATAAACTGCTGTTCCCAAGGTCAATAGTATAATTACACATTTCATTCAGAAAATGCAAAAGGCAGGACAAGGATAGTCAGATTTATTCCTTTTTTCTTTTTCAATTATTTTGTTGAGAGATGCTAAGAGTATTTCACATAACACGCTGTTTCTTAAATACATTACCCCACTAGCTTAAAGAGCCTGTGACAGCCTCCCAACAACTGTTGTGAAATTAAATATTGGGCTACTAGTAATTTCGAACCGTCAGTTTAAAAAAAAAGGTGCGATAAATATCAATAATTTCGAACATCGCGGGGAAATTCCTTCGACTCATTTTGAAGTTTTGGGGAAGCCGGAAGTGACGTCAATGCGGGAACGCTTCACTGTGCGGCGAGAGAGCCAAACACGGACAAAGTTTGTTGTCATGCGTAGAAATGGTGAGTTTAGGCACGTTAATAATGTTTTAATGAAGTTGACTACAGTATATTCATATTTGTCAGTGCTTTCTTGTCAATTCGGCGAGCATAAACATAAATGATCGTGGTGAAGATGATGATTAAATTAGGATTAAAAATCGGTAGTGAGAGCTGCTGAATTTCCTCCCGTCGGATGTGATATAAAAACAAATCTATTTTTTGTAGTTGTAAACTCAAGTGGATGAAACTACATTTATTAGTGCTTTCATGTCAATTGGTGAACATATGATACATTAAATGATCGTGAGGATGATGATTTAAAATCGTTTTGTTTGAGCCGGTCTGCATTTCCTGATGAGAAAACAAACCTTAGCTTTTTGTAGTTGCAGTCAGTGGTGTAGTGGGCGTTGGACGCGGGGGTACGCCGTACCCCCACTTATTTGAAGCATGATTTCTTTTTTAATAGTCTAATACATCTAAAATCATTGCCAGTGTTATCAGTTGCAAGTGTGTGTTTGTTGTAATAATGACGAAAACACAC